GTAAATTTATTTTAATATAAAATTCATAAATAGTTGCAACTCAAAGTGTTGCAACTTAAGTTGCAACTAGTTAAAAAATTTAAAAATTAATTATGGGAATCATCTTTAGTAATATATATATATTAAGATAAGTTTTTTTTTAAAAAATCTGAGTTATTGAAAATTATATTTCTACCACTATTATTACAAGAGTAATGAAATATTTTTAAAAGTAGAAATGCATTATAAACTTATTGAAAGGATAAGTAAGATAAATGTTATAAAAAGTAATTAAATTTAAAATATTTTCAAAAATTTATTTCTAAATGAATCAAATGCTTTTATTATTTGATCTAGAACTTTAATTATTTTTAAAAAAGATGTTTTACAATTAGTTTCTTTTCATAACACTCATCCTATATAAATGTAAAAATTTTAATTTATTAATTAATATATTATGTTATATATTATATTTATTAAAATAGAATTTTTTTTTTAAATTTTAAGTAAAATAATAAAAGAGTATTCTGATTACTATTTAGGTAAGATTATTAGAGAAATGATTAGGAGGATTAAATAGATCATGTTTTTAAAAATATAATTAATTAAATTATTATTTATAATCATAAAATATTATACAAACTAATGCTATGCAAATATTATTATGAAATATTATATAAAATGAAACCTTTCAATTGATGTAATCCAAGTATTTATTTGTTTGATAAATAGTTTTTCATTTATTGTATTATCTTTATACTCTCTCCTAATTACTAATTTAAATGAGATTTTCTTATGTTCATCTTTAAATTCTTTAATTTCAGAATTATCTACTTCATCTTTAATTATATCATCTTTTATTTTAATACCCAAAATTTTATCCTTCTCTTCATCAGATTTTTCTCAAATTCTATTTTATTAATTTCTACTACTTCATTTACTTCATCATCATCATTTTCATTAATATTATTATCATCATTATTATTTATTTCTCTAGAATTTTTAGCTAAAAGAATTAGATCTAGTAAGCTTTGATGTTTGATTTGATTTGATATTAGATAAGTTTTTGGTAGATTTGCTGAAATGGTCTTTATTGTTTGACATTTTTTAACCATCATCAAATTATGAAAGGTTGAACATAAACTATATGAGAAAATCCATTCTGTTTATTTAAATCATACACTCTAAAGTAACCTTTTTTTTTTATTTCTTATTTTTTTTATTCAAATCACATGACAACGTTTAAAAGATTCAAACGTATTTGACATAAAAAACAAGTGCCAATTTAGAACATTCTTGAGTAGTGTACCTTTATCTTAGACATTATGACACGTAATATAAAAATTGATTTAATTATGCAGTGATCGGCTAATTTTTTATCACGTGATTTTTGTGTTTTGTGTTGTCGATCCTCGAAAACTTCAATAATTAACTTTATTACGCTTGGCATCCTGCATCTGATAAATTCCAACGGTTTTTCTTTTTCTAATTTTATTTATTATACCTCTGGTTGAATTCATTGAATGAAAAAATGTATATTTAATTGTTAATTCCATCTTAATAAATTTTTTTTTTTTAAAAAAAATTTTTTTCGGAAGTAAAGAGAAAATTAAGAATAAAGTTTAGAAATTAATTTCAAAATTTGCCCGTATTTTAAATGGGACGGGTTAAGTTAATTAGCCAGTTAAGGATTTTATAATGTTTATCAATCTCATCATCCATTTTACATCCATAACTGAAAAATGAATTGAAAAATTTGAAAAGAAAAAAGAATGTTCCAAACTTCATTAATAGCTAAAAGAAATTAATTTCTTAAATAACAATGAATGTAAACAATATTTTGTTGATTTATTGATATAAAACATATCACGAATTCTTTTCACGCGTATCTTTTTCTTTGAAAAGTTATGGTTATTGAAGAATACAGGATAATAAAATTAGCGTGTGAAATTGCTGATGCGATAAAATTGTTTTTAATTTTACAAACTTTTGCCCGCAGATAATGATTAGAAAAAAAAAATTTATTTGATCATCCTGCTTAATAACGATATTCATGCAGTGTAAACATTCTAGTATATAAATGGTTATCACTGTGTAACTCGTATCTCGAATTCTGATGGTCCAGACATGATTATTTATGGTGAAGGAGTCGCGACTAAATAATATGATTATGATAAGTAAATACTTAATATGAACAATTTTGAGCTACAACTAGTTTGATTTGGAAATGAGTTCATATATTTGGATAAATACAGGACATTAAAGGATAGATTCTTTATTCTTATCATTTGAATTAAGTAAGTAATGAATGTGATGTATTTTACTGTGAAATTCTTGAAATTCTTTCTCAATAGAAATCTATTGCTTTGAAAACCTGATTTTTTTATTTGGGTTTCAAGCATGCCTGCCATATTTAAGTGCATATTAATTAATAAAGTTGTTTAGCGGTTAACGGTATTTTTGGAAATATCTTCACTAAACGAATCATGTTTATATGTGAACTTTTCTCAATAACAATTTTTTTTTTTTGATTGTTTGGGGCATTCACCTTAGTATTGTTCAATAAAAGGGTATATTGTAAACAGATTATGAATGCAAGTTTCAAGATGAATCGAATAATTATTTTATATATGGTATTTTACATATCGAGTACTATAATTTTTAATTTAAAAATATATACCCATATAAATAATTTGTGTTTTTTTTAAAAAAAAAAATGTATATTTTTAATATAACTTTATTATAAACTACAATGCTTCATGAAGACTTTCATAGATACAAAATAATACGAACAGCTTAATTCATTTATTTTAATAAAGATAATTAGGATCAGAATAACATTATGCAAATATCGATATGAAAATTACTGTGCCACATTTAATTTTTTGATTTAAAAACGAAGAGAAGCTAGATGGCAAACAGGAAAGGCTTATAATCAACCAACCATTCCGTTGATAAAGAATGAAGGAATATGGAATGGTTCCATTAATAAAAAGGTAAAAGTTCTAATCAAATTCGAAGAACTACACTAACCTGCCAGTTGGGACTGTCCCAAGTCAAGCAATTTCAGCCAAAATTATACAGCTTATTCTGCTTCGGATAGTAAATTAATGTTTATAGCTTCGTTAGATGATTACATATTTCTAAATGCTTCAAAAACGTTATTTTAATAACTTTACATCTTACAGTTCTAGAAGTGTGAAATTTACTACTATTCGTATGACGATCCAATGAGCTGCGTATCAACTTTTTTACGATTGGTGTTACCTTGGTTTATGTTTCTTGAATTGGGACTGTCCCAATACTTTGTGTATGTACTGTATATTTATAGTTCGATGATCATTTCTTAAGAATTCTGGATCGAACGAATTTAGCCAAAGTTTTTTTTCCTTTGATAAATAATAATGTACTGTATTTTACTCGAATCACAAAGTTCAACTATGAAATACAATTTATAATATTAAAAAAAAAAAGTGTTGAAGTATCACAAAATTTATTGGATTTAAATGCAAAAAAAAAAAAAAAATGTTAGAAAACCGGTTTTCGGCTAAATACTGTATATTATATATATAAAATCAAAATTTCTTGGCACATGCGAATTTACAAATATAAGTCGGAGCAAATTTCCGACCATAAAAAGAATTTTTAATTGGTAGATGCAGTGTCGATTTTGTGATATCAAGGAATTCTTTTTATTCTTTTATTCAAACAATTCTTTCGTTTTCTAAACTGTAATACAATGTAGTACAACTGTATCTAAAATTTTTTTAGACAAGGCCTGGTACTGTTACACAACGGAATTTTGTGCCAAAGTGTGAAAGCGAAGCCAAATTCGTAAAATAATTATACATTTAATATTATATTATATTAAATATCAATATCTTTAGGATTTTTTTTTTAAAAAATCAACATCTGAATAAAGCAGTTGATTCATCATAATTATTTCTTGTCACGAAATATGCTTTAAGATATCCTGTTGTTCTGCATTCTAGATTTCGCGGAAGAGTTCTGATATCAGTAATAATAAAAGCTACTAAACTTTAATAAGTTTTCATTCAAAAATTTAAGGGATTACAAAGAAATAAATAGTAAAACAAGCATTTTTAAAAAAAGTAAGGTGGCGACTTGCAGCTGTTGCCATTATTGACAACTTTCTAAATTTTCCAATTGGTTCCTTTTAATCAACACACATACTGTAATGGATGGTTACCAGGTTTGAATTAAAATCAATTTAAATACGATGAAAAATTTTTCATTTTAAATTTACTTTTTATTTTTTTTAAAAAAAAAAAGAAAAGAAATTACAAAATAACTACATTATTTACAAGATTTTTTATTATTATTAGTTTTTCTTAATTTAATATATAAAAATGGTACAAACACGAAATAACGTTTACAACAATAATAATAACCACCAAAGTGGTAATAATGTAAGTCAAAACGTTTTGAAAAAATATTCTTTTATTTCTGTTTAATAAAAAATTAAGAAATTTATTCTTTCTATAGGAGGATGCAATCATAATTGATTGCGTATTAGCAATGAGCGATAACAATGTTAGAAATCTTTACCGAACGATTGCCAGCATTCTTCCACAATACAATACTCACCAAATTCGATACCGGGTTCGGAATTTAATTAATCCTTTATGTAAGATATTAATTTATATTCTAATTTTTCTTTATTAAAAATTATTTAACTAACTAAAGTTTTTTGTTCAATTTAATAGTAAATCATCGTCAACTTAATAGAAGCCACAAAAAATTTATCGACAATTGGATTAAAAAAAATCGGTCGAAAAGTGGCAGGATATCGTGGGCAAGGTTGAGCAATGACTTGAGCCAAGAATTTTTTATTTTAAAGCCGGACTATATGGTAAAAAAGTATTGGTACTCCAAAAATGATAAAAAAAAATCTTCTCGTTCAAGCACACCGAGCGAGAGTACCATTAAGTCAAGTTCATCGTCAACCTGTTCGACGATTGTTGACGATAGTGAAAATGATGATGATGATGATAGAAATCTTGGTGGTATTTCTACTACTACGATGGTATTATAATATAATATATATGTTTTTAAATGTTGGTTATTTTTTTTTTCGGTATAGTCATATGATAATTATTAGAATATTACAGTTCGTAATACAAATGCTTTTATATGAGATATATTAAAAAGTAATATTGATAATAAACAAAATTTTAAAATTTTAAAATGATGCGTTATTGTATGTTTTGTGAATTTAAACTATTTTTGTTATTTATTGTGTGTATAAATAAATATAATGAAAATCGATCGATCGCATTAACTTGAAGATGAATATTCAAGTGAAGAAGATAAGGTTAAATATAATATATTTAATATCACGAATATATATCGCGTTGTATATTCAAAGCTCTGGTAGCAAATGTTCTATCCTATTTTTTTTCTCATTTTTTATTATGCCCTCCTTCGCTTATAGTTGTAAATTTTTCTGTTATTTTATGAGTAATTGTGTCCCTATGGTAATGATTTTTATTCAAATTTAGTCATGATTTTCAATCAATTATTATGCAAAATTCTACATAAAAACTTACAAAATTTTTTTAATTATAAATCATTTTTAATAATTAAAATATTAAATATATACAAGATTTTCAATTTAAATATATAAATAAATGTTTTAAATATAAATTTACATATTTTGTAAAGTTTTTTCAATAATATAAAAATAATTAAAAATTAAAAATTTTAGCTTTTATAAAGAAAATACTTTTATTAAAATTTTTCAAAAATTTGATCTTAAATTAATTCAAAAAGTTATTATTTTACTTAAAAAAAATTATAAATTTTATTATAAATATATTATTGATTTAATAATTATATTTTATAAAATTCCTTTTAAATTTAAAAGAAAAACTATTAAAGGGATAAACCAATTTTAACCAAATCTTTCAATAATTATATTTATACAATTTTTAGCTTGTTAAGACCTACCTAATAACTCTTATTTTAGATTAAATGGCTGAATGATGAGATATTTGTGTCTTAGTTCAAATACATAAATACTAATTATAATTTGCAGTATATTCATTTTTATTACAATATAATATGATTTCCAATATATCTAATGATTTAATGATTAGAATTTTATAAAATTTTTTTATTATATAGCTTTTAAAAAAAAATTAATTTAAGTAAATAAAAATTTTCTTAAATTTTTTGCTAACATAATGCAAAAAATTACATAACTTAAAGTAAATTTGATTGGTTAATATATTAGTTAGAATTATATTTAATTTGTTAAACAAATTTATTAATTATTTTTTTATTTTCTAAAATAATTTGATTAAGTACTTTATCAGAAATACTTCTATGTGATTTATATTTTTTTTGCAAGTACAACAAGTTTTCCTGTAATACTTTTCCTATTGTTATAAGATTATTTTAACAAGAAAATATGGCAAAGTAAATGATTAATATATTTCACTAAATTGATCTACTAGAGGAATTACACAAATAATTATACAGAATTGATTTACTAGATGATCTACAATTAATTTGCATATCGATATGTAAACATTATAAATATTAAAATGTCAAAAATGTTAAGAATATTAAACATTTTTATAGATTTGATACATTTAATTTATTTTATATAAATAGGATGGTTTGTAAATACTAAAAAGACATAAAGTTAGATTTCCTCTAGTCCAGTACTATTATTCTTCTATTTTCTTTCTTAACAAATATATTTATTTTTAATTAAGTATTCTTTTAATTAAAATAGATCTATTATTATTCTAATGAATTTAGTAAGCTACCTATAAAAGAAACAACACTCAAATACCTCATTTAACTGTAGTGATATACCAAAACCATATGTTAACACTATATAATTCTATATATCTTCATGACTTTCATATTAAATATTTTATTTCAACTAATAAAATAAAATTTAATGCTTCTAAAACAGTTTTTTTTATCTATTCCATATATAATATATATAATAATCAAAATACTTATATATATACCTTTTGCTACTTTCCAATATATTTTAATAAAATTCACAATAAAATTTAAAATAAAAAATATATATTTTATGTCTAGTTTCTTCAATTATTGTTTTTAATTCTAACTTTTATATAAAGATTCTGGTTGTAAAAACATAATTTTACATGTATAACAATTAATTCTTATTTAATCTACTATTGTATTTTTTCTTTACATAATTAACAATAAAGATGCAAACTATCATACCATAATCAATTAATACTTATTTAATATCTTTAGGTTAATTTGGATATTTTGAATGATTAAAAGAAATACCATTGATTGTAAAATATTTTCTAATCCAAATATAGTATCTTTTATTACTAGCTATTATTTATCTGGATTAAGATTCATATATTATATATACAAAGTATTATTTAATATTACTTCATGATTAATATTATTATTAAAGTAAAAGTAGCAATTACATTTGAATATACTATTTCAAAAATTGAAATAGCAAAATCTTTTACTTGCTTAATTAAATATTTTACTGTTTATTATTCATTTTCATTCTTACTTGAACATAAAAATTTTGAGCTTCTTATAAAATTTCAAAATGTACTTGAACTTATTTATCTTTTAATTTAAGACAACTAATTATTTTCAAAAGAAATTTATTAATTATCATTGACTTTCTTTATGAAGAGATAGTTTACTAAAAGAAGTTCAAATGATAGGATGATTATTATTAGCATAAAAAATATACTAATCATAAGTTACAAAAATATGAAGCTTTTTCTTTAGATCATAATAAATCTATTTATTCATATAATTTTTTTTAAATATTAATATTAAATATTTAAATTCTTCCATTTTTTTTAGAAATTTAGTTCTATATTCCAACATATTTAAATAATTATGTCTATCAAAGTAGATATTTTTTTCGAAATTGTAAAATAAGTTCAAGTTTTCTTAATCATATTCTAGCTGTTTTTTTAGAAATTTATATAGTTATTTTCATTTGTGAAAAAAAGTATTATTAATAAAGGTTTATCTAATTTTATTATAACTTTTTCTTTATTTTTACAAATAAATTTTAAGCTTTCTTTAATCATATCTTCATTATTAATAAATGATTTTGTTTTTTGATATATTAATACTGAAAATACCTTATTTTCAACCCAGATTTTTGCCTATTTTCTAATTCTTTTTACATAATATAGTCTTTTATTAAAAACTTCTCCTGCAACAACAGATGCAGCTTCTTTACTAGTTATACTTTTTCTTTCTAATTAATAAGTAATACATAAATTAAATAATATCTTAAATACTCATGCTAATATTTTTTTTATTTTATTTAAGAATTATTATTTTTTTAGTAAAATTATTATCATTATTATTCATTTCAAAATTATTTCATCTTTTTATTTTTTTTATTACGCTTTCTAATACTTCTTATATACTTTCTGATTCTTCTAATTCTAAGATATTATTTGCATCAAATATGTAAGTTTAAATAATTGACAAAGAACTTTTAGTTACTTTTATATATATTTCTAATAGTTATACTTTCTTATAGCAAATGTTCTATTATATGATATCTTTTTTTTTTGTTAATTATTTCTTTAAAGAAAAAAATGTATTTATAATAAAGAAAATAACTTATAATAAAATAAATAAAACCTATTAAAATAAAAATATAATTTCTAATTTTAATATTTTTTAAGTACAATAGTTTCATCTGAAATGTCTGTTAAATAATTATTATCACTTAATAAAGAAGTATATTTATTTTCACTATTTAAGTATTGTAATGCAAATTGATCAGAATCTTTATTACAAAATTATGAACTTAACCATTTTTTTAGAAACTAATTGTTTATGTGTAACTTGAAAAGTGAAAATTGAAAATAAATTTTTTAATTTTTTAAAAATTTTTAAGGAAAATATAAATATTTATAAGCTAAAAAAAACTTGAATAAATAGATGCTATACAATGTAATCATTTTATAATATTATACAAAATTTACTTATTGTCAAATTTTTCTTATCATAATAAATTAGCTGATGTTCAAAACTATATAATACTATCAAAACTTAAAATATTTTAGTTTAATCCAATAAGTTTAATATTTTTTGATATTGTTTATCAGAATTAGTAGTTAAAATAATAATATTTTTTTTTTGAATAATATAATATTAATTTGAAAATATCACATTATTACTATAGGAAATAGAACAGTTATAAAGGTATTATAGGATCCTGAACTATACTAATAAAACTCACAAATGTAGTATGAACACGCAATTAAAATTATATTGTATGGTATAACTCAGTCAATATTAATGCTAGAAAGATGAAATTACTACCATTATATACTTTCACTCTTCCTTGTTGGATTTTTTCCAAGAATTTTTACTTAAAAAGCGCCCGTTCAACAGCAGCTGCGGCTTAGCTTGCAAACAAACAAAAAAACCCCACCTTTCAAAAATATTCTTCTCTTTGTTTCCCACACCCTTATCCACATAAAATTTTTTGAATTAGTCTAAACAGTGTTGTTTTTTGTTAAAATATTTTTTTCTTCACCTCTTTTCAAAAAATTTTTTCTGTTTTTCTTTTTTTCTTTTTTGCTTACTAAAAAGTAGGCATCAAGGAGTATTCCAACTGATGATCATAACTGACATATTTTGAATAAACAAATCTCACGTGATGACACTTTTCCTCTTCCTAAATAATATACTCTCTTTTGATTATCCTCTGCCTTTCTGCAGATCCTCTGTCATTGATGATCACGTGCAAATTCAGCGTAATTTTCTACATGGTATGATGAAGCTTGCTTCTAAAATGATCCTAATC